ACACACACACACACACACACACACACACACACACACACACACACACACACAGACACACACACACACACACACACACACACACACACACACACACACACAGTCACACACACACACACAGTCACACACACACACACACACACACACACACACACACACACACACACACAGTCACACACACACACACACACACACACACACACACACACACACACACACACACACACACACACACACACACACACACACACACACACACACACACACACACACACACACACACACACACACACACACACACACACACACACATACACATAAACACACACACACACACACACACATAAACACACACACACACACACACAGTAATGAACCAGGCAGTAAACACGGTAAAGGTCCACCACGTACAGCTCAGGAAAACAAACCAGATATAAAGCCAATTAACCTTATCTACCTGTCTCATAATCTTTCCCTTCCTTCTTGACCACTATCCCTCCTGCTGACCTCCCTCCCTCCACCACTCCCCCTCCCCCCTTCAGTAATACACTATCAACATCCATTAAACTTTCATGCGACTTAATAACCAGGATGTGAAGTCTTATCCCTAGCGTCAACATTCACCGCTCGTATGTGTAGTGAATACAGCATGACTCACTCACTGGCCGAGTCGCCATCAAGCACGTCGACCTTAAGACGAGTACTGTAAAACTGTGACCTTTTGGTGTACAATATTTTTACAGGGCAGTTTTACTCTCTCTCTCTCTCTCTCTCGTCCGTGAGTTCATTTTTCTTCTTTTCTTTACATAAAATAGAGAAGAAGGAAGTGAAGGGGGGAACGCTTTGAGCTTTCTCTTTTTTGTAAACTCGAGAGAAAGAAAACGTAAAAGTAAAATTAGAAAATCCTTGACAACAAGAGGCTGCAAGTGGGTGAGTATTTACCCCTGAGAGAGAGAGAGAGAGAGAGAGAGAGAGAGAGAGAGAGAGAGAGAGAGAGAGAGAAGGGATCACAGAATTCCGAGCAGCAGCAGCAATAATAATAATAATAATAATAATAATAATAATAATAATAATAATAATAATAATAATAATAATAATAATAATAATAATAATAATAATAATAATAATAATAATAATAATAATAATAATAATTCCCTCAACATCATAGAAAACGGAGGAGGAAGAAGCGACACAAACTCAACAAGAATCTATTTCACCCTCAGAGACACAGAGTCATAAGGCTGTCCAACCCCTTTAAGTCTCATGAGATTCCCGACCTAAGGATGAAGACATTTATTGAAGGTTGACGCCGCTGTCTTGCCCCGAGTGTTATTATTTCCACCGCTTCTTCAGGCAATTCCCTCACGTCCCTCTCTATCGCCTTTGATCGTGGTTTATCTTTCTTCCTGTTTTATTTCTTTTGTGGGTTTATCGTCTTGTTTTATTACGTTGTATATTAAGTTTCCTGCTTCAGTCTTTGTTTATGTATTTAAGTTAAAGACAACAATAACAACAATAATAATAACAACAATAACAACAATAATAATAATAATAATAAGAAGAAGAAGAAGAAGAAGACGAAGAATAACAACAACAACAATAATAATGATAATAATAATAACAACAATAACAACAATAATAACAACAATTATAATAATAACAACAACAATATTAACTTGTATCACTAACAAATATCTCGCTTGATGTCACGCCCCAATTCTACAGGGATAACAATATTATAACGTTATTCAATTAAAAAAAAAAGATCAGGTTTAACACAATTTATCTACAACGATACAAACTCATTAAAGTTTTCCTCCAAACATGAAGACTTGAAACTAACTCACCAAAAACGGGGAAAATTATAGTTTACCAGGAAAATCTTTCATGTAAATCTTGAGAGTGACTTTAACTTGTTGGTTAGGTTAGGTTTGGTTAGGTTAGGTTGTTGGTGGTGTATTTTAGGGAGCGTTTTATAAGACATAAGACAGTTTTAAATGGCTTAGCAACGAGGAAGATAATTATGAAAGTTAGTGAGGGAGAGAGACATCAAAGTGAAGCTGGTTGGTGAGAATAAGAATACAGTTTTACACCAGTTAGCGGCTTCAAGTGGGGCTGTTGGCCCTCTCTCTTCTCTGCCCCTCCTCTCTCCATCACTCCCTCTTTCTCAGTGTTATGTTATGGAAGGTAGTCTCTCTGTCTGTCCCTCCCATATAACCCCATAATAACCAGTACACTCAGAACACCTTCCCGAGCCACACTCTACACCAGCATCTCTCTTACACCTCACCTTCCCGAGCCACACTCTACACCAGCATCTCTCTTACACCTCACCTTCCCGAGCCACACTCTACACCAGCATCTCTCTTACACCTCCTCACATCACCAGTCAAGAGGTAAAGTTCAAACCTGTATTTATGATCTAGATTATGTGAGGCAACAAGATGCTTTCCCACATCTCTAGTCAGGGGAAACAAGAAGTTGGTTCTCTGCCGTAAGATCCTTTAAGAATTTACCTCTACGTCACTTACGATTTTTTTTACAGACTTTATTTACGAGTAATGAAATTTATCGTAAGATGTTTGTGAGAATGAGTGTCTGTGACCCTTTGTTTCATACCTGAAATAAGGGATAAAGTGAGAAAGCTATCGTAGGAAGCTTTAAGAATCTACCTATGTATCGTCAGCTTAATATGAATCACTTAGAGCAGTTTTCTTATATCTATGTAAAATAAAAATAAAATAAAATAAAAAAACGGGAAGAAAATTTCATGAGGTGTAAATAAATTTGTATATCCATCTTTATTGGTTGTCTTAATGAGAACCATTTAAACCGGTTCTCTCACCTCCGACATAAACCGGTTCTCTCACCTCCAGTTAAGAATAAAGAAAGCCATTCACCATCTTTACTCGTCGACTAATGAGAACCTATTAAGAAATCATAAGAATCCACCTTTGACGTCAACGAGTTAATGAGAACGACTTAAAACAGTTCTTTCATCCGATAAAAAAACGTCAGAAATAAACCATACGAGTTCTTAAACCTGACTCAGAGCTCACCAAAGACAGCCTCCCCTCACTGGCCCTCCATAAGATCAAATATTCTTCCCCCTTGAGATGTCTGCATTATGGGGATTGCATTTTTTCGTGTCCTTAAGAACGATGCCACGTGCTGCCCTCTGAATGACACAGACGAGGAGACGAGAGCCTTTTAAGAGATAATGCATACGTGGCATTCACTGGATGAGATTATAGAGATGTATTTTACCAGAAAGAAGAGAGAGATAGAGACTTGAAGAGATATTATTTGGTGAGATATTTTAAAGAGATATATTTTACCAGAGAGACACTTGGAGAGATACTATTTACTACAAGATAAGTGTAGAGAGACTAAGAGATAAAACAGAGAGAGAAAGATAAAAGATAAATAGAGAGAATGTGAGGTAAAAAAGAGAAAAGATAAATAGAGAGAGAATGGGGTAAAAGAGAGAGAGAATGAGGTAAAACAGAGAGAGAGAGAGAGAGAGAGAGAGAGAGAGAGAGAGAGAGAGAGAGAGAGCCCCTCACCACCACCGTGTTTTGAGGGGCGACTAAGACACACTCACGTCAGCCCCATAACAGGTAATGGTGGACCCCAAGGCCTGAGATGCTCCGAGGCGACGACGTGGATAGTGTAAGTGACTGTCTGGCACTCCTTCAACTCCTGCCTCCAGAAAATGGGTCCTGGTCTTAACCCTTTTGAAGACGATGATGGTTTAACCCTTTCATGACGATGGTTTAACCCTTTCATGACGATGGTTTAACCCTTTAACGACGATTAACTCTTTGATGATGATGGTTTAAGCCTTTGTAGACGATGACTTAACTTTTAATATGATTTAACTCTTTTGCGAATGATGGGTTAACCCTTTGAAGACGATGATTTAACCCTTTGACTATTATGATTTAACCCTTTAAAGACGACGATTAAACCCCTTTGACTATGATGATTTAACCCTCTAAGGACGATTATTTAACCCTAAGCGACTCAAAGAGATAGCAAGGTGTTATGCAGGGAAAAAATTGGTAGTAGCGTCATAAAAACTTGTTTGTCTAAAGGAAACTAGTTTTTTGACGATAAGAAAATGAGTCTTGACCGATGATAGCTGAAAACTCTCTCTCTCTCTCTCTCTCTCTCTCTCTCTCTCTCTCTCTCTCTCTCTCTCTCTCTAACAACACACAGAAAAAGAGAGACAGATAAGCAATAAGTTATATGGGTTGTTCTCAGAATAAATATGATTGTCCCCGCGATGCCTCGAGTTTGTTGTGGTCGCTTATATCCCGACGACACTACGCTACACTACACTACTGCAGGTACACGTTCAGGTGCAGGTAGATACGGTAACAAGAACACACACACACACACACACACACACACACACACACACACACACACACACTAGCTGGGAGACAAGAGAGAGAGAGAGAGAGACATCTCCCTGGTCGTGGGCTCTCACTGGCATCCTGGATGATGATGGCCTCTCAAACGCACACTTATACTAAGAGGCCAGAAATTACACTGGAGGTAAGTGATTGCGTGGGAGAGGAAAGAGTGAGTGAGTGAGAGCCTGGGACCCCGCACTCAGCTCCTCCTCCCTTACAACCTGTGGATCTTAATACGAGAGATAAGGCTCATGACAGTCACAATTCTCTCCTCTTCTCTTATTCGTTTCCTTCTTATCTTTTATTCAATTTCCTCCTTCACTTACTGGTATAAAGATGAAGATATATTTACGGTTGATTATTTCAGTGTTGATGAGGTAATGAGAGGGATGAGAGGGAATATATGAGGAGAGGGAGATATTACTCTGGTGGTCAGCCACAGTGTTGGCAGGACACGGAGAGTGGGGGAGCAACCTGTTGGCTGTGTGTGTGTGTGTGTGTGTGTCTCTGTGTGTGTGTGTGCGTCCGTCGTCGGGTATATAAGGCGAGGCGCGCACCCTCCCTGATCAATATTCTCTACGGCGCTGTCCGGGACGGTCCGTATATGTGTGTGAGGGGGAGAGAGGGCATGACTCCACACACACACACAGACGTACAAACAAACAAACACACACACACACACACAAACACAATAACCTTAACACAATACAAACGTAATTTATTGATCCAGAACCTAGTGATAACCAGACCATCACGCGTTACTCATATTGACCTTAACCAACAAAGTGATTTATTTAAACCGCCCCAGAATGTGACTATCTTTACTGTGGTTCATTAAGTGACAGTCAACACACACACACGCTGACCCTCAAATCCTACAGACAGAGCTTTGAATGATAATATTCTTCAAGGCTGTGCAGTATTATCGAGGACTCAGCCAACAGCGGTAGTGACAAGTGACAACCGCAAGATTGATAATATTAACGTGTAATATAACTAGTGAACTATTATTAACGTGTAACATAACTAGTGAACTATTATTAACGTGTAATATAACTCTAGTGAACTATTATTAACGTGTAACATAACTCTAGTGAACTATTATTAACGTGTAACATAACTAGTGAACTATTATTAACGTGAAATATAACTCTAGTGAACTATTATTAACGTGTAATATAACTCTAGTGAACTATTATTAACGTGTAACATAACTAGTGAACTATTATTAACGTGTAATATAACTCTAGTGAACTATTATTAACGTGTAATATAACTAGTGAACTATTATTAACGTGTAATATAACTCTAGTGAACTATTATTAACGTGTAATATAACTCTAGTGAACTATTATTAACGTGTAATATAACTAGTGAACTATTATTAACGTGTAATATAACTCTAGTGAACTATTATTAACGTGTAATATAACTCTAGTGAACTATTATTAACGTGTAATATAACTAGTGAACTATTATTAACGTGTAATATAACTCTAGTGAACTATTATTAACGTGTAATATAACTCTAGTGAACTATTATTAACGTGTAATATAACTCTAGTGAACTATTATTAACGTGTAATATAACTCTAGTGAACTAATGTTAACGTGTAATATAACTCTAGTGAACTATTATTAACGTGTAATATAACTCTAGTGAACTATTATTAACGTGTAATATAACTCTAGTGAACTATTATTAACGTGTAATATAACTAGTGAACTATTATTAACGTGTAATATAACTCTAGTGAACTATTATTAACGTGTAATATAACTCTAGTGAACTACGTATTATTAACGTGTAATATAACTCTAGTGAACTATTATTAACGTGTAACATAACTAGTGAACTATTATTAACGTGTAATATAACTCTAGTGAACTATTATTAACGTGTAACATAACTAGTGAACTATTATTAACGTGTAATATAACTCTGGTGAACTATTATTAACGTGTAATATAACTCTAGTGAACTATTATTAACGTGTAATATAACTCTAGTGAACTATTATTAACGTGTAATATAACTCTAGTGAACTACGTATTATTAACGTGTAATATAACTCTAGTGAACTATTATTAACGTGTAATATAACCCTAGTGAACTTACTTAAGTGTACAATAATAATCTGTACTAAACACTTAACAACTACACTTATACCAGACAAATATAAGTGAACGGGAGCATGAAAACACAAGAAAGAAATTATATACGGAAAGAAATGAAAAACCAGTGAAGTTATGATTTATTGACAGATATTCGTGTATATTCTTAAGGGAGTGTTTTAATGGGACAGATATTCGTGTATATTCTTAAGGGAGTGTTTTAAAGGGACAGATATTCGTGTATATTCTTAAGGGAGTGTTTTAATGGGACAGATATTTGTGTATATTCTTAAGGGAGTGTTTTAATAACAGATATTCGTGTATATTCTTAAGGGAGTGTTTTAATGGGACAGATATTTGTGTATATTCTTAAGGGAGTGTTTTAATAACAGATATTCGTGTATATTCTTAAGGGAGTGTTTTAATGGGACAGATATTCGTGTATATTCTTAAGGGAGTGTTTTAAAGGGACAGATATTCGTGTATATTCTTAAGGGAGTGTTTTAATGGGACAGATATTCGTGTATATTCTTAAGGGAGTGTTTTAATGGGACAGATATTCGTGTATATTCTTAAGGGAGTGTTTAAAGGACAGATATTCGTGTATATTCTTAAAAGTGTTTTAATGGGACAGATATTCGTGTATATTCTTAAGGGGGTGTTTTAAAGGGACAGATATTCGTGTATATTCTTAAGGGAGTGTTTTAAAGGGACAGATATTCGTGTATATTCTTAAGGGAGTGTTTTAAAGGGACAGATATTCGTGTATATTCTTAAGGGAGTGTTTTAATGGGACAGATATTCGTGTATATTCTTAAGGGGGTGTTTTAAAGGGACAGATATTCGTGTATATTCTTAAGGGAGTGTTTTAAAGGGACAGATATTCGTGTATATTCTTAAGGGAGTGTTTTAAAGGGACAGATATTCGTGTATATTCTTAAGGGAGTGTTTTAAAGGGACAGATATTCGTGTATATTCTTAAGGGAGTGTTTTAAAGGGACAGATATTCGTGTATATTCTTAAGGGGGTGTTTTAAAGGGACAGATATTCGTGTATATTCTTAAGGGAGTGTTTTAAAGGGACAGATATTCGTGTATATTCTTAAGGGAGTGTTTTAAAGGGACAGATATTCGTGTATATTCTTAAGGGAGTGTTTTAAAGGGACAGATATTCGTGTATATTCTTAAGGGAGTGTTTTAAAGGGACAGATATTCGTGTATATTCTTAAGGGAGTGTTTTAAAGGGACAGATATTCGTGTATATTCTTAAGGGAGTGTTTTAAAGGACAGATATTCGTGTATATTCTTAAAGGGAGTGTTTTAAAGGACGAATATTCGTGTATATTCTATTAAGGAGTGTTTTCAAAGGGACAGATATTCATGTATATTCTTAAGGGAGTGTTTTAATGGGACGAATATTCGTGTATATTCTTAAGGGGGTGTTTAAAGGGACAGATATTCGTGTATATTCTTAAGGAGTGTTTGTTTAAAGGACGAATATTCGTGTGTATATTCTTAAGAAATTGTTTTAAAGGGACGAATATTCGTGCTTCATATTCTTAAGGGAGTGTTTTAAAGGGACAGATATTCGTGTATATTCTTAAGGGAGTGTTTTAAAGGGACAGATATTCGTGTATATTCTTAAGGGGGTGTTTTAAAGGGACAGATATTCGTGTATATTCTTAAGGGAGTGTTTTAAAGGGACAGATATTCGTGTATATTCTTAAGGGAGTGTTTTAAAGGGACAGATATTCGTGTATATTCTTAAGGGAGTGTTTTAATGGGACAGATATTCGTGTATATTCTTAAGGGAGTGTTTTAAAGGGACAGATATTCGTGTATATTCTTAAGGGAGTGTTTTAAAGGGACAGATATTCGTGTATATTCTTAAGGGAGTGTTTTAAAGGGACAGATATTCGTGTATATTCTTAAGGGAGTGTTTTAAAGGGACAGATATTCGTGTATATTCTTAAGGAGTGTTTAAAGGGACGAATATTCGTGTATATTCTTAGAAGTGTTTTAAGGGACGAATATTCGTGTATATTCTTAAGGAGTGTTTTAAAGGACAGATATTCGTGTATATTCTTAAGGAGTGTTTTAAAGGGACAGATATTCGTGTATATTCTTAAGAGTGTTTTAAAGGATGATGCTGTATATTCTTAAGGAGTGTTTTAAAGGGACAGATATTCGTGTATATTCTTAAGGGAGTGTTTTAAAGGGACAGATATTCGTGTATATTCTTAAGGGAGTGTTTAAAGGACAGATATTCGTGTAAGAATGTGTCAGGTCTTGTTGTATTAAATTACTGTTGTTGTTTATAAGTGTCAGTGTTACCAAGGTGTACTATACCATCGTTACCAATGTTGTACTGTACGAATATTGTTTTAACCAACTCTCCTCCATCACCACACCCTCTCCACCATGACACTATCTCTACCACCATACCACCTTCCCTCATCACATCACCATAACCCTGTCTCTTCCCACATCAACACCCTCTATCATGACACCATGAAAAACACCTCCACCACCTCACTTCCCTCCATCCTCTCCACCATGACACCATCTCTTCCACCACACCTCCACCACCACCTTCCCTCCACTACCAAACCTTCACCACCAAATCTCCCTCCCTCTTTCTCACCCCACCCTCCCTAACCCATCCATCTCCCATCTCACCCTTCATTTCATTATCCGTCCCTCTCACCCTCCCTCCCTCCCTCTCACCCTCCCTCCCTCCCTCTCACCCTCCCTCTCCACCCTCCTCCCTCCCTCTGACCCCCTCCCCTCCCCTCCCTCTCAACCCCCTCCTTCTCACCACACCTACTGCAGACCCCAGTAGAAACACACACATAGAGTTTTAAAGGTCTTTGGTGGTGAACACCTGACAGGAAAAAGTGTCCCCATGAAGGTAGTGAGAGGGCCACCACAATACTGTCCATCTCTTGTTGACCAGCTGGGAGAGGTGGGGAGGAGGAGAAGAAGGAGGGAGAGAGAAGAAGAGATGGGAGAAGAAGAAGAAGAGGTGGAAGAGGGAGGAGGTGGGAAGAAAAGAGAGGTGGAATAGGAGGAGAGGTGGGGAGGAAAAAGAAAGAGAGGTGAGAAAGGTGGAATAGGAGGAGAAATGGAAGAGAAGAAGTGATAGTGAAACAAGCCTCTTAGTCACGGTGGGAGGGTGTAGAACTGTTTTGGTGACGGTGAGAGGTGTGGGAAGAAAAGAATGGAAGGGAAAGAAAGAAGAGAGAGAAAAACCCAACTTTGCCATCTTGATGACCATGGAAGAGCGTAGGAAGTAAAGAGGAGAGGAGAGAGAGAGGAGGAGAAGGAGGAGAAGAAGGGAGGAGAAGAGGAGGAGAAAGGGGAGGAGAAGAGGAGAGGGGAGGAGAAGAAGAGGAGGGAAGATGAATCTAACTGAATAAATAGATGGATAGACTGATGGATAGATCTCCTAATCTCACCACCTCCCTAATCTCATCACGTCCCTAATCTCACCACCTCCCTAATCTCACCACCTCCTAATCACCACCTCCTAATCTCACCACCTCCCTAATCTCACCACCTCCTAATCTCACCACCTCCCTAATCTCACCACCTCCCTAATCCCCACCTCCCAATCTCACCACCTCCCTAATCTACCACCTCCTAATCTCACCACCTCCCTAATCTCACCTCCCTAATCTCACCACCTCCCTAATCTCACCACCTCCCTAATCTCCCACCCTAATCTCACCCACCTCCCTAATCTCACCACCTCCTAATCTCACCACCTCCCTAATCTCACCTCCCCTAATCTCACCACCTCCCTAATCTCACCACCTCCTTAATCTCATCACGTCCCCTAATCACCCACCTCCCTAATCTCCCACCTCCCTAATCTCACCACCTCCCTAATCTCACCACCTCCTAATCTCACCACCTCCTTAATCTCATCACGTCCTAATCTCACCACCTCCTAATCTCACCACCTCCTAATCTCACCACCTCCTTAATCTCACCACCTCCCTAATCTCACCCACCTCCCTAATCTCACCACCTCCCTAATCTCCCTCCTAATCTCACCACCTCCTTAATCTCATCCGTCCCTAATCTCACCACCTCCTCTGTGCCTCGTCTCAGTATTCTTTACCTTCAGGACGCGGCTACCTGTTGGTCGCTCTTACTCACCTTGTGGTGGTGGTGTGTGGTGATGGTGTTAGTGGTGTGGTGTGGTGATGGTAGTTAGTGGTGGTGTGTGTGTGATGGTGATGGTGTTGGTGTGGTGTGGGTAGTGTGTTGTGTGTGGTGGTGTGTGTGTGATGGTGTTGTGGTGGTGTTGTGTGGTGGTGTGTTGGTGATGGTGTTGGTGGTGGTGTTTGTTGTGGTGTTGTGTGTGATGGTGTTGGTGGTGGTGTTGGTTTGGTGGTGTTGTGATGGTGTTGGTGGTGGTGTTGTGTGTGGTGGTGTGTGTGTGATGGTGGTATTGGTGGCGTGGTGGCGATGGTGGTGTTGGTGGTGTTGTGTGTGTGTTGGAGTGTGCTGGCATTGGTGGAGGTAGTGAAGTGGTGGTATGCTACTGGTGACGGTGGTGGGAGGTAGTGGTGGTAGTGGCGCCCTTATCACTGTTGCAGTTCCACATGGATGGTCATTATGGAGTCTTAGCGGTTCTTTTATTGGTGATGATTTTATCTCTCTCTCTCTCTCTCTCTCTCTCTCTCTCTCTCTCTCTCTCTCTCTCTCTCTCTCTCTCTCTCTCTCTCTCTCCCTCTCCCCCCCCCCCCCCCCCCCTCTCTCTCTCTCTCTCTCTCTCTCTCTCTCTCTCTCTCTCTCTCTCTCCTCTCTCTCTCTCTCTCTCTCCTCTCTCTCTCTCCTCTCTCTCAAACATATTTGTTGAACAGTTATTGTTGAATCTCCTTTCTTCCCTCTCCCTTCCCCTCCCCTCTCTCCTCCCCCTCATCTCCCTGCCCTCCCATCCCTCTTCCCTCCCTCACCCTCTCACCTCCTCCTCCTCCCCTCCTTATAGTATAAGACCAGGTTTAATATGCAGATGAGGCAGCAGAAAGGATATCAAATATCTTCATTAAGACTTTGATGGTACAAGTTGGTTATACCTATCACCAAGTGGGGGGCGTGTCTTGGGAGGGCGTGTCTCGGGGGGTGTGTCTCGGGGAGGGTGTGTCTCAGGGGGAGGGGTGTGTCTCGGGGGAGGGGCGTGTCTCGGGGGAGGGGCGTGTCTCGGGGAGGGGGTGTGTCTCGGGGGAGGTAGGTGGAGGGAGGTAGGAGTGGTGGGAGGGTAGGAGTGGGAGAAGGAGTGGTGGGAGGGTAGGAGTGGTGGGGGGGTGGGAGGTAGGAGTGGTGGTGAGGGGGTAAGTGGTGGGAGGGTGGTGGGGAGGTGGGAGTGGTGGGAGGTGGGGTGGTGGGAGGTGGGGTGGTGGGTGAGGGGTAGGAGTGGTGGGGAGGGGGTGGGAGTGGAGGGAGGTGGGGTGGTGGGGAGATGGGGTGGTGGGGGGAGGGTAGGAGTGGTGGGTGAGGGGTGGAAGTGGTGAGGAGGTAGAAGCGGTGGAGGGAGGAGGTGAGTGGTGGGGGAGAAAAGAGAAATAAAGGGGAGAAGAAAGGAAGGAGTAGGAAAGTGGGATGGAAGGAAAAAGGTAGAAGGAAAAAGGAAAAAAAAAGAAGAGGGAGAGGAAGAAAAAAAAAGAAGGAAAGGGAGGCAAGAAGGAAGAAATAGGAAGGGGTGTGGATGGGAGAAAAAAAGAAGATGGAGAGAAGGAGGAAGGAAGAAAAGAGGAAAAGTAGAAGAGGTGAGAGGGGTGTAAGAATGAGAAGGAGGAAGAGGAAGGTTGGGGAAGGAAGGAGAGGAAGAGAAATACAGAGTAAGTGTTCAAGATGCAACAATAATTCGTTTACTTCGGACCAGAGAGTTCTAGACCTTCGATATTAACATAAAATCTCTCTCTCTCTCTCTCTCTCTCTCTCTCTCTCTCTCTCTCTCTCTCTCTCTCTCTCTCTCTCTTCCTCCCTCACCTCAAATTGTGATCTAGTCTTTGGTGGTCGTCTGAGTGTGGGGAGGGATGAGGGATAAGATTGGGGATGACAGAGGGGGAGTAGAGATGAGAGGGATGGGGAGAAGAGATGAGGGGAAGGGAAAGAGATGAGAGGGATAAGGGGAAGAGATGGAGGGAAGGGGGAAGAGATGAGAGGGATGGGGGAAGAGATGAGAGGAAAGGGGAGAAGAGATGGGGATGGGGAGAAAGAGATAGAGAGGGAAGGGAAAGAGATGAGAGGGGGGGGAGAAGAGATGAGAGGGATGGAAGAGGGAAGGAGTAAACTGTGAGAGTGGTGAGAGGTCGTGGAGATAATTGCTGGGTGTTGGGTGTCTCTACATGAGGAGGAGAAATATGACACTCACCTCCTAGGACACACACACACACACACACACACACACACACACACACACACACACACACACACACACACACACACCCCTAACCCTAACCTAACCCAATTACCACCAATTATCTTCTTCTTCCCCTCCTTCTCCTTCCTCCGTCTACTCCTCTTCGTCCTACTACTCGTTTTATTCTTCTTCTTCTTTCCTCCTTTCCTTCCTACACCTCTTTCTCCCTCCTCCCTCCCCTATCTTCTCCTCCTCCTCTTACCTCCCTTCTCCCCCCCTACCTCCTTCTCTCCCCCCCTACCTCCACTTCTCACCCCCCACCTCCACTTCTCTCCCCCCCTACCCCCACTTCCCCCCCCACCTCACTTCTCCCCCACCTCCACTTCTCCCTCCCTCACTCCTCCACTTCTCCCACCTCCTTCTCCCCTCCTTCTCACCCCACCTCCACTTCTCCCCCCTCCTTCTCTCCCCCTACCTCCACTTCTCACCCCTACCTCCTTCTCCACCCCCACCTCCTTCTCCCCTCCATACCCCTATCCATCCCCCCACCTCCATCTCCCCCTCCATCTCACCCCACCTCCCTTCTCTCACCTCTCCTCCCCCTACCTCCTTCTCCCCCTATCCACTTCTCACCCCCCCACTCCACTTCTCCCCCTACATCTCCCCACCTCCACTTCTCCCCCACTCCCTCCCCCTACCCCTCTCACTCCTCACCCCCACCTCCACTCCTTCCCCCTACCTCATTCTCCCCCCACCTCCACTTCTCACCCCCTACCTCCACTTCCCCCCCTATCACTTCTCTCCCTGCCTCCACTTCTCTCCCCCTCCACTTCTCCCCTACCTCCCTTCCTCACCCCCACCTCCTTCTCCCACCCCCTCTCCCTTCTCCCCACCTCCACTCCCTCACCCCCTAGCCTCCACTTCCCCCCACCTCCATCTCACCCCCTCCTGCCTTCTCTCACCAACTTCTCCCCAATAATCGTCTCCATCTTGTTCTGCTCTCAGCTCCCTCCGGAATGTTAAGCTTTAGTTGAGACAATAACAAGATCGACACATAGTTGCCAATTTAGCTGAGAGCAATAAAGCTATTAGTGAGGCTAATTGTGTTTGTTATTGAGCATCGATTAGTAGGTTTGCTGCTAATGGGTCATCTTCTCTCTCTCTCTCTCTCTCTCTCTCTCTCTCTCTCTCTCTCTCTCTCTCTCTCTCTCTCTCTCTCTCTCTCTCTCTCTCTCTATACACCACGATCGAACCCACGTACTGAAGTTACAGATCGAGACCCTGAAAACATGTGACCCCTGAACCCCTGACCCCCCCCTCCCTCCTACTCCCTCCTCACACAGACCCGGGACCACGACAAACAGACAGACAGACAGACAGACAGACAGACAGACAGACAGACAGACAGACAGACAGCCATTCGACAAAGTTTGAGGTAAATATTACATCAGACGGCTGTGTTCTGCCTCAGGACGGGACAGTGAACCAGTGCTAACTATTATAACTTGTGACGAAAGAGATGTTATGGGCCCCTGGGGGTACACTAGGTGGGTTCCTGGGGGCACACTTGGTGGGCCTCTTGGGGTACACTAGGTGTTTCTCCGGGAACAACAGCAGGTTTAGGGCGGTGAGGATACAGCATACTGTAGACAAAGCCATTTTTTTTCAATATAATCGACACTGTATCCGACCTCTTTCACGTCCTAAACTGTAACGTTAGGTACTCATTCACAGCTGGTTGGACCGAGGGTACCTTGGGGAGCGAACTAACATCTCTCAGGACAGGAGGTGAGCGTTGTATCCACTCGGCCACCACACACACACACACACACACACACACACACACACACACACACACACATATATATATATATATATATATATATATATATATATATATATATATATATATATATATATATATATATATATATATATATATATATATATATATATATAGTTTTATATTTCTAATCTAATTTCTATTAATTGTAACATAATTACCTGATTATTACCAAACAGAAATAAATTAATCTAAGACGAACGTTTGTGATGTAATAAAATACAATAAATAATAAAGTGATAATGAAAGAAATAAAGGAATGATAAAGAGAACAGAAGAAAGTGTTTATAAAACTCAGAGAAAATGGAGTAAGTGTTAAGTGACAGAAAACAGGGTGAAGGCCAGCCACTTGAGTGTTAACTCTGACTCAAGGTATGACTTAGAACTATGTATCAATCAAGTGCTGACTTAAGAATTATCTCTCACTCAATTACTGGTCTAAAATTATCTCTACCCTAAGCGGTGACGTAGTTAATTGCTAGCCCAAAACTGTCGCTCAAGCACTAGCAAAGAGCCCAACTGACCCAGAAGTGTAACTGAAGCGCTGGTTTAGAGCTGTCTCTCACTCAAGCACTGATCAGCACTAGCCTACACCTATCTCTCCCTCAAGCGCTAGGATAAAACTGCCTATCACTCAGGCACTGATATAGAAGTGCCTGTCACTCAAGCACTGGCCTACAACTCTCTCCCTCAAGCACTAGAGCTATCTCTCCCTCAAGCGCTTGTCTAGAACCATCTCTAACTCAAGTGGGACTCCTAATGGCCAGGTTCCTGCGACGAAGTCTTAAGCGCAAGAAAGGAACCGTGACTTTCTTAAGTGAGTCTATTTTATTGTTACTTTGATTGTGTCTGTCTGTTTGTCTCTGTGTGGCTGTCGGGCTAACTGTCTGTCTATCTATCAGTCTGTCTGTTTTTCTGCTTGCGCATCTTCATGTCTCAGCTGGTCAGTGTGTCTCAGCTGGTCAGTGTGTCTCAGCTGGTCAGTGTGTCTCAGCTGGTCAGTGTGTCTCAGCTGGTCAGTGTGTCTCAGCTGGTCAGTGTGTCTCAGCTGGTCAGTGTGTCTCAGCTGGTCAGTGTGTCTCAGCTGGTCAGTGTGTCTCAGCTGGTCAGTGTGTCTCTGTCAACACTGCACAAGTTTTTCAACAGTACGAGTTAATCATCTTACCTTACTCCTCAATGACGTAAAGGTGTACCCGGGAGTTAATGATATACACAATGTGTATTTGCTGAAAACAAGGCTAACAAAGTACTTGGGTTCATACAAAAGAGTGTTTGTTACAAGACTAGCGAGGTTATCCTAAAATTATATCTTGCGCTTGTGAGACCTCACTTGGATTACGCAGTTCAGCTCTGGTCACTGTACTACAGAATGGATATAGAATCCCGAGAGGATAGTGACAAGACTAATCCCGGGTATTAGGAACCTTGAGTACAGAGACAAGTTAAAGCATCGAATTTGCACTCCCTCGAGAGACGTAGAGTGAGGGGCGATATGATCGAGGTGTATAAATGGAAGTCAGGGCTAAACAAAGGTACTCAAACTATCCAACCAGAAGCGAACTCATAGCAATGGTTTTAAATTAGACAAATTTAGATTTAGGCGCGAGATAGGTAAACATTGGTCTGGAAATAGAGTAGTGGACGAGTGGAACAAGTTACCAAATATCATCATTAACTCGAATACGCTGGATAGCTTCAAACATAGGTTGGATGGATATATGAGCGATAGGGGTTGGGTGTAAACGGGACTGCCCAGTATGAGCCAATAGGCCTGCTGCAGTTTCTTCCATTCTTATGTTGTTATGTTGTTATGTCTACAACATTACTGGCTAAACACAATTCCCTGAGTGACTTTATGTGATCCCGATCTTCAACAAGGGAGGTAACGGCGACGAGAGACTCACATAACAGCGACGCAACACTCACGAGAGACTCACATAACAGCGACGCAACACTCACGAGAGACTCACATAACAGCGACGCAACACTCACGAGAGACTCAGTTAACAGTGACGCAACACTCACGGGAGACTCACATAACAGTGACGCAACACTCACGGGAGACTCAGTTAACAGTGACGCAAGACTCCGTTAGCGGCGACGCGAAGATTCAGTTAACGACAAGAAAAACAATGATAAATTATATATAAAAGTGACTTGAACAAACCTGCAGCATGGCGGTGTGTCGTGGTCCCTGGAGGAGCGGCTGTCACTCACTTACCTGGGAAAAACACCAATCAGATTAACCTTCCGTCTCGCTCTACTTATATATAAATTATTATCTGTTTATAAGGATAACGTCCCTCTGAGACATACAGCACATTAATGGAGGGAGAAAAGAGAGAGAGAAGGGGTGATAAGAGATGAACGGGAGATAGATGGGTTGACGTGTGTGTGTGTGTGTGTGTGTGTGTGTGTACAAGCACACTCCTGGCTGGTAACAATCCACTTATGTACTGTGAGTGAGAGTGACTTTAGCTGTTACTGTCTCTCTCATTCACGTCACTTAGCTGTAGAGAGAGTAGCTTTTAAAGAGAACAATGAAAACTCCAGTTAATATAACATTAAAATAAAACTCCCTGTAACATAACCTAACGTAACACAACCTATCTTAAACTAACATAAACAAACGTAACGTAACGTAACCTAACCTCCCAAATTTAGCATTAAGTTTCTGTGTAATTGTGACGCCATATAGCAACATTACTTGTGTACGTTAAGTGAGACAAACTAGTTACAAACTTATGGTGAAAAACCCTCATAAGGTCCTCCAGTGATGTAGGTTCAGGAGATAAGACCTTCATCACATTACACAGGTGGGGGAGCCCATACTTCACTAACATATGGTTGACGGAGGCGGCGCACGCGGCGGAGGAAGAAGAATTTATGATTATGGTTGGCTGGTTCACCTGAGCTGGTAAACACACAAGGCCAGACCAGGAGGTGAGGTTAGTACCACATCTCACGGTCGGTAGTTCCCTTAGTATGACTTACCTGTCTCTTATATACCTCCCGGGGCAGAGATACCAGTGTGTGTGTGTCAACAATGTAAAGGTTGGCCACAAGATTGTAGGAACACAGGTGGATTCTTGCCTAAAGGTACACCTGAGCCTTAGAGTCTTAGAGCCTTAGAGCATTAGAGTCTTAGAGCCTTAGAGCCAAGGAATGCAGAATTACGTTATCTGTGTGAAATTTTCCTAACTTGATGCATTCCTTATTTTATCTCCCGGGGAAATACCCTCATTATCTCTAGGCCTAAGAGTTGAGGGTAGAGTGACGTGAATGCTGCCTCTTGTGTTCCCTCATAAAACTACGATAACAGCTGATATGTCTACCTCAATAATAAACAAACTAACACAACAACTGACCCGGAAACTAGAGAATGTGTTCCAATACCCCTCAGCCACACCTCCCTGGTATAATACTTGGTTTGGTTAGAGAAGCTACTCTCTCTGTCAACATAGGTCGAGAGGGGAAGGGGGAGAAAGGGAGAGGAGAGAAGGGTAGAGGAGAGGGGAGAATGGGAAAGGGGAGGGGGAGGATGGGGGGAGTTTATGCAAAATAACTCTTTGGCAATCTCAAGATCATGAATAAATTACTTTGTACTGCAGCTTCCATTGATGTTAGGACGTCTCTCTCTCTCTCTCTCTCTCTCTCTCTCTCTCTCTCTCTCTCTCTGTCTCTGTCTCTGCCTCTCTCTCTCTCTCTCTCTCTCTCTCTCTCTCTCTCTCTCTCTCACTTCATAATTACCTCTGAGTGGCCTCTTCTTTTGGTCAGATAAACGAGAGACGAAGCTGAGGGACTTTTACGTGATCCCCAGGTGAAGTGTGGCCCCAGGTGAAGTGTGGCCCCAGGTGCAGTGTGGCCCCAGGTCGAGTGTGGCCCCAGGTGGAGGAGGATGGTCGAGTGTGGTGTATAGTAGGATGAGGAGGGTGGTTTGTGGAGGAAGAGGAAGGAGAGAGAGGAGGAAAAGGAGGAGGGTGGATCAGGATAGTGACAGATATAGATTAGTGATGAACGATGTCTGAAGAGAGAGAGAGTAAAAGGTCACTCACTTGAAGGCTTTTGTAAACCTCCATCACTTATCCCTTCACCCCAGTAGTTATCATTGACCACTAACCTTTGACCTTGAGTAATGATGTGACCTTGATGACCTTATGACCCAGGTATTGCTCCAGTGAACATGCTAACAGGAGCTATTGGTCAGTATTATTTAGCGATGAGGGAAACTTGTCCAAAATATACTTAGCAAGATAAGTTGAATAATGAAACAAGATGGCCGCCAACCTGTGGTTTTCTAACTCGGGCAACAAGTGGCACCACTGTACAGACTCAGGCAACAAGTGGCACCACCGTACACCCAGACAACATGTGGCACTACTGTACACTCAGGCAACATGTGGCACCACTGTACAGACTCAGGCAACAAGTGGCACCACCGTACACCCAGACAACATGTGGCACTACTGTACACTCAGGCAACATGTGGCACTACTGTACAGACTCAGGCAACATGTGGCACTACTGTACACGCAGACAACATGTGGCACTACTGTACAGACTCAGGCAACATGTGGCACCACTGTCCAGACTCAGGCAACATGTGCACCACTGTACACTAAGGCAAAATGTGGCACCACTGTCCAGACTCAGGCAACATGGCACCACTGTCCAGACTCAGGCAACATGTGGCACCACTGTACACTAAGGCAAAATGTGGCACCACTGTCAGACTCAGGCAACATGTGGCACCACTGCAGACTCAGGCAACATGTGGCACCACTGACACTAAGGCAAATGTGGCACACTGTACAGACTCAGGCAACATGTGGCACCACTGTCCAGACTCAAACATGTGGCACCACTGTACACTAAGGCAAAATGTGGCACCACTGTACACTCAGGCAACATGTGGCACTACTGTACACTCAGGCAAAATGTGGCACCACTGTCAGACTCAGGCAACATGTAGCACCACTGTACAGACTCAGGCAACATGTGGCACTACTGTACTAGGCAAAATGTGGCACCACTGTACAGACTCAGGCAACATGTGGCACCACTGTCCAGACTCAGGCAACATGTGGCACTGTGCACTCAAAGCAAAATGTGGCACCACTGTACAGACTCAGGCAACATGTAGCACCACTGTACAGACTCAGGCAACATGTGGCACTACTAAGGCAAAATGTGCACACTGTACAGACTCAGGCAACATGTGGCACCACTGTACACTAAGGCAAAATGTGGCACCACTGCACAGACTCAGGCAACATGTGGCACCACTGTACAGACTCAGGCAACATGTGGCACCACTGTGCACTCAGGCAACATGTGGCACCACTGTACACTAAGCAAAATGTGGCACCACGTACACTAAGGCAAAATGTGGCACCACTGTCAGACTCAGGCAACATGTGGCACCACTGTACAGACTCAGGCAACATGTGGCACTACTGTACAGACTCAGGCAACATGTGGCACCACTGTACCTCAGGCAACATGTGGCACTGTCCAGCCGTCAATTAATGTTTTAATTATCACTTTTGAAGTGTTTTGGCCGACTGTTGTTTCTGTTAGCAGGAGGACTGTGCCTCTGTTAACCGGAGGACTGTGCCTCTGTTAACAGGTAGTAGTAATAGTAGTAGTAGTAGTAGTAGTAGAGTAGTAGTAGTAGTAGTAAGAAAGTGGTGGTGGTGGTAGTGGTGGTGGTGGTAGTGGTGGTGGTAGTGTGGTGGTGTGTGTGTGGTGTGAGTGTGGCGTGTGGTGTGTGAGTAGTGGGGTGGTGGTGGTGGTGGTGGTGGTGAGCGGTGGTGG